AGACGGCATCACTACTCATGTTTCCAAGAGAGTACTCGTCTCTTTCTCCATTGGACCTTTGTACAAGGACCAATTTTATTTTGATGTCGCTCCCATGGATATAAGTCATCTTATTCTAGGAAGACCATGGGAACTCGATCGCAAAGTCATGCATGATGGCGTTAAAAACACTTATCAGTTTCTTTGGGAAACACATAATATAGTGTTGTTGCCTACACGCGACTCGGCGGTAACATCACCAGCTCGTCCTCGTGCTACTGCCCCCACCTCGTCACAGGTCGGTAAGTCCGGAGCTTTATTAATTTGTTCTCAAGCTGCTTTTGAACAGGAACTACAATGTGAGGGAATAGCATTTGCGTTAATCAGCTCAAACACGATAGCTCCTTGTGCTACTAACTCTGTTTCAGAAGCCATTGAGACTGTTTTGGCTGAGTTTGCGGACGTGTTTCCTACTGATTTACCATTGGGTTTGCCGCCATTACGCGATATTCAACATCACATTGATCTCATTCCGGGCGCTACACTTCCCAATAGGCCCCATTACCGAATGAGTCCGCAAGAGCATGAAGAATTACGTCGTCAAGTTGAAGATTTGCTACGCAAGGGTCATATTCGGGAAAGTCTTAGCCCGTGTGCTGTGCCTGCCTTACTTATTCCAAAGAAAGATGGCACATGGCGAATGTGTGTGGATAGTCGTGCGATCAACAAAATTACCATTCGTTATCGCTTTCCGATTCCGCGTTTGGATGATCTCCTGGACCAGATTGGTAGAGCTTGTGTGTTCTCAAAAATCGATTTAAAAAGTGGATATCATCAACTCCGTATTCGACCCGGCGACGAATGGAAGACAGCCTTTAAAACAAGAGAAGGCCTTTTTGAATGGCTTGTTATGCCATTTGGTTTGTCAAACGCTCCTAGTACGTTTATGCGTGTGATGAATCAGGCCCTGCGGCCTTTCATTGGCAAATTTGTGGTCGTCTATTTTGATGATATACTCATCTTTAGTTCTTCTCTTACCAAGCATACTTCTCACCTACGTGACGTTCTCTTGGTCCTGCGACAAGAAAAACTCTACGCGGGACGACAAAAATGTGAGTTTGGTACTACGGAGGTCAAATTTTTGGGCTATATCGTTTCAGATAAGGGGCTCTCCGTGGACTATGCAAAGGTGGAAGCTATTCGTTCTTGGCCACTGCCGCGTTCAGTTACCGAAGTTCGAAGTTTTCACGGTTTAGCTTCTTTTTATCGTCGTTTTGTTCACAATTTCAGTACAATTGTGGCACCCATCACGGATTGTATGAAGGATGGTCGTTTTGAATGGACCGCGGCGGCAACAAAGGCGTTTGAAGACATCAAACTCAAGCTCACTACGGCTCCTATATTGGTACTTCCAGATTTTTCCCTTGTGTTTGAACTCCATTGTGATGCATCCAAGCTTGGCATCGGAGCTGTTCTTAGCCAACAAAATCGACCCATTGCTTATTTCAGCGAAAAATTAAATGGAGCTCGCCAACGTTACAGTACTTATGATGTGGAGTTCTACGCAATTGTTCAGGCTATTAAGCATTGGAGACACTATTTAGTCCATCGAGATTTTGTGCTCTTCACCGACCACGACGCCTTACGGCATCTTGATAGTCAAACCAAAGTGTCGTCACGACATGCTTCTTGGATCGCATTTCTCCAACAGTTTACCTTCGCTATTAAGCATCAATCGGGGAAGACAAATCGTGTTGCGGATGCTCTTAGTCGACGTCACACCCTGCTGGCCACGGTTCACACGTCGGTGCCGGGTTTTGCAACTTTTGCGGAGTTGTATAAAACAGATCCTTTCTTTGCGGGAGTGTTTACGGATGTTGAACAAGGGCTTACGGATGACTACTTCATTCACGATGGTTTTCTATTTAAGGGTTTGCGCCTTTGTGTCCCGGAGTGTAGTTTGCGCCATAAGATAATTCAAGAACTACATAATGAAGGTCATGTAGGACGGGATCGTACACTGCAGCTGGTGGTGTCCTCCTATTTTTGGCCTTCCTTGCGTCGTGATGTGGAACGCTATGTCGAGCGTTGTCGCATTTGTCAACAGGCTAAGGGTAAAGCATCCAATGCGGGGTTGTATCTACCATTACCAATTCCTACTCAACCGTGGACTGATGTTAGTATGGACTTCGTCTTGGGACTTCCTCGTACTCAACGCGGGAATGATTCTATTTTTGTGGTGGTGGACCGCTTCTCCAAAATGGCTCATTTTATACCCTGTAAAAAGACGACAGATGCGTCGACCGTGGCCACATTGTTCTTCCGCGAAATTTACCGTCTCCATGGCTTGCCGCAATCAATTGTCTCCGACCGTGATACAAGGTTTGTTAGTCATTTTTGGCGTTCGTTGTGGAAATTGTTACGTACTAGCCTGGACATGAGCTCGGCATATCATCCTCAAACGGACGGTCAAACCGAGGTAACTAATCGCGCTCTTGGTAATCTGTTGCGGTGTTTGGTGGGTGATAATTTGAAGAGTTGGGATGCTAAGTTGTGTCAAGCTGAATTTGCACACAACCATTCCTTTAATCGCAGCCTCGGGTTTTGTCCTTTTCGTGTTGTCTATGGTTTGGTCCCTCGCTGTCCGTTGGATTTGACCACGCTGCCGGATCAAACACGTTTGCACGGACAAGCCGTTGACTTTGTTGAAGAGATTCAGTTGGTACATAAGCAGGCGCGTGACCATTTGGAGAAAGTGACTGCTAAGTATAAAGATTCTGCTGATCGGAAGCGCCGTGTGGTTGTCTTCAAACCAGGGGACCTCGTGTGGGTGTATCTCACTAAGGACCGTCTTCCCCTCCACGAATACAACAAGCTCAAGTCACGCAAAGTTGGACCACTAGAGGTGCTGGAACATATCAACGACAATGCTTATCGGGTACAGCTTCCTCCACATTTGCGTACTCACAACGTCTTCAACGTCAAGCACTTGTCTCCTTTCCATGGAGATAATGAAGACCTTGATTCGAGGACGAATCCTTCTCTACCGGGAGGGACCTGATGCAGCATAGCATCGACCCTTAATGGGCTTTCTTTGACGTTACTTGCCCATTAAGTTACAGCTTTGAGTCGGTTTTGTTAGGTTGCATTGTCGGTTTATTTTCTCCTAAAACTACTAGGATTAGGGCTTTGTTTTGGCTTTTGTTTTATCACCTGCGTCTCTATAAATAGAGGTCGTAGAGCATTGTACAATTCATTCATATGCATCAATAAAAAAACCAAAAAGAGGTAATCTAAATTACCCAAAGAGCTTTGTGTTCAAGGCCCTGAGAGGAGGACTCTCATCCCGTTGATATCGAATTCTATTCGTTATCTTCTTCTATTCATCATCATCACCGAGTTTTCACCTTGAAAACTCACCAATCTCCATCAATTCACCCTTGTTACGTGACTCTGTTTTGATCTCCCCTGTTCAAACAGAGCTCTTCTTCGTCTTTGCTTCCGCATCCCTATCAGATGAGGACGGCGGAGTGATGATGGCCGTGGTAGTGGTAGACGAAAATCTTAGAAGCTGAAGTTTATAAGTTTTTTTCAATTGCTAGTTTAATAAAAATGGTATCTAACACATATGGTTAATAACTCCTTTGGTTGAAGATATCAAGGGTTCTAATCCTTGATTTTGCAATATGTTGCAAAATATAAGAAGGTTATTTAGCGGATTACTTTTTCAACTTCACATAATTGACATGAATGTTTTATAGTTCGAGGATATATTTCAAAAATAATTGTTTGAAATATAACGCAGATCCAAAACATATAATGTATGTATATTAAATAACTTAACAAAATATAAAGGTTAATAGGTTATAACGATCAAAATCAAAGATTATATTTAGACTATTTTTTTCCTTCTTATCATTAGCTCCATCAAAGTAAACAACCTCCAATTATGGTTCGTCAAAAGAGAGATTATCAAACTCATATTTTGCAAAATTAATCTCATCCAATTAGTTAAATAGGTCACATGCAACATCCTACATATAATTGGAAACATCTTTGTAAGCAAGACTTTTTCTAAATATAAGATGAAGTTTAGTGTGTACCAAACTACCAATCTGGCCTACCGTTGTCTATGGATCAATCTTTTTTTGTTGGTGCATATGCATAATGTGTAAAGTTGTAAGTACTACAATTCTGTTAGATTGCCCAAATGGATGCACAGAAAGAAAAAAAAAAGATTGCCCAAGCAACATAAATGATAATATGTAAGTTTCCGTCGCGTTTCTAAAACGAAATTGGATTGTCCAAATCTGTTGTGTTTTCAAATTGAGTTTTTCGGAAATCTTGAAACATTCCAAATTTCCGATTAGAAAACAAAGGAACAGAAAACAGATCTCAAAATGAGGTTTCATGCAACATATGCTTAAACCAGTTGAGCCATCAAAAATAAATCAACGGAGAATATTCAACAAACAAAAAAAAAAATTACAGAATGAGAATCTTTTGTTTCACGTGAAAGAACCTAACCAAAAAAAACTTGGTGCTAACTAAAACTAACGTTTTCAATTTAGTGCAAATTAAATCCTAAATTTTTCTTTAGTGAACATTAAAGTCTGTATGGTAACACAGTAAATGTATCGTTTTAGTTACTAAAAATATTTCAGTCAAAAAATATTCCTATGATTTCTAGCAATGAATTAAAATCTAATTTATGTCAAATTAGATATAATAGATTGATTGTCATTTGCAATAGAATTAGGTCAATATCTATGATGATAATGTGAATATACAAATTTTCATTATCATCTTTAATTACTTACCTTAATGTTAGTCCCACTATCCTGTTAAAGACAAAAAATACAAGTTGGACGTAAAATGACATCGACGACGTCCCCACCAAAGAAATTTCATCGAAACCTTCTTCTTTCGCTTGACCTGAAAAGTCAGTGGTTGACTCATAGACTCACTCACCACCCTTGGCTTAAATTATACACTCGAATGTCTTATCTTCTCAATTCTTCATTTCTCTTCTTCTTCCTTTATCCATTCCAATGATTTGTCACGCTTTGTTACTTTTCTTTATCCTCGTATCCGTCACCGTAGTAGGAGAAGGAGCAACGGTGGCGTTCGTGCCCACCGATGTCTTTCTCATCAACTGCGGCGATAATTCAGCCACCAACGACCAAAACGGCCGAACATGGACGCCGGAGGAGGTAAAAGCTCTGCCGTCAAATTCAGACTTTGCGTCCTTCACTTCAGATGCGTTATACCAAGACTCAGGGATTGCTCAAGTGCCGTACATGAAAGCTCGGATTTTCCGATCTAACTTTACGTATAGTTTTCTAGTCTCTCCCGGCTGGAAATTTCTCCGGTTATACTTTTATCCGACCCGTTACGGTTCCGGTTTCGACGCTGCTAGCTCCTTCTTCCTCGTCAACGTCAATGGTATCACTCTCTTAAGAAACTTCAGCGCTGATTTAACGGCAAAAGCTTCCTTACCGGAGTCAAAGTCTCTTATCAAAGAATTCATCGTTCCCGTTCACCAGACTCTCAATCTCACGTTCACACCGTCTCGGGATTCGTTTGCTTTCGTTAATGGAATCGAGATTGTCTCCATGCCTGACCGGTTTTACTCAAAGGGAGGATTTGACGAAATGATAACAAACGTCGGTAGCAACGGTGAATTCGTGATAGAAAACTCGACGGCTTTGGAGACCGTTCACCGGTTAAACGTCGGCGGAAGAACAGTCAATGACGTCGACGATTCAGGAATGTTCAGGCGGTGGCTTTCCGATGATGATTTGGATAATTCGGGAATCATTGTGAACATTCCAGGAGTCAAGATTAACTACACTGAGAAAACTCCAGGGTATGTTGCCCCGGAAGATGTGTACGCCACGTCTCGCCAAATGGGGAACCTACAAGACCCTAAACTCAACCTTAATTTCAATCTGACGTTTTTCCTTACAGTCGACGCCGGGTTTAACTACCTCGTGAGGCTACATTTCTGTGAGACTATTCCGCAAGTGAACAATACCAACCAACGCGTCTTCTCCATCTTTGTGGGATATCAGATGGCTAACAGATATGTGGACGTGATTCTGATGAGCGGTGGTCCTCGGAATCCGATGTATCTAGATTTCAATGTGTATGTTGGCTTTGAAAATGGGTTGAGACCTGATCTACGACTTGATTTTCATCCTATGATGGATGATGGTGCATCCTATTATGAAACTCTTCTAAATGGTGTGGAGATTCTCAAGCTGAATGATTCTCAAGGTAATCTCGCCGGACCTAATCCAAATCCTCAATTACCAACGGACTCAACACCAAACCGTGTAAGGCCGCCGAAGAAAAAAGGTAATAAGTCACATCTTTTGACTATCTCACTTGCAGTGGTTGGTTCTGCAATTGTTCTAGCGATGTTTGTTGTTGTTATCGTCTTTGTCATGAAGAGGAAGAAGAAGAGGAACGACTTTAGTGTACATACAACGAGCAAGCCTTCTACGAACTCGTCATGGGGTCCTCTGCTACATGTTACAGGTTCCACGAATACAAGATCAGCTACATCTCTCCCATCAGATCTTTGCCGTCGATTCTCTATATCCGAAATCAAATCCGCCACAAACGATTTCGAGGAAAAACTAATCGTTGGAGTAGGCGGGTTTGGTTCTGTCTACAAAGGACGAATAGACGGTGGAGCCACGATTGTCGCGGTTAAACGGCTGGAAATTACATCAAACCAAGGTGCTAAAGAGTTCGAAACAGAGCTCGAGATGCTCTCAAAGCTTAGACATGTACATCTCGTCTCTCTAATCGGATACTGCGACGATGACAACGAGATGGTACTTGTCTATGAGTATATGCCACATGGTACACTTAAAGATCATCTTTTCAAGAGGGACAAGGCCTCTGATCCTCCATTGTCGTGGAAACGAAGGCTAGAGATTTGCATTGGAGCAGCTCGTGGACTACAGTATCTCCATACTGGCGCGAAGCACACGATCATACATCGAGACATCAAAACCACAAACATACTTCTCGATGAGAACTTTGTCGCTAAAGTATCTGACTTTGGTTTATCAAGAGTTGGTCCTACTAGTGCTTCTCAAACGCATGTCTCCACAGTCGTTAAAGGAACGTTTGGTTACTTGGACCCCGAGTACTATCGCCGTCAAATCTTGACGGAAAAGTCTGACGTGTACTCCTTTGGAGTTGTTCTGTTGGAGGTTTTGTGCTGTAGACCGATCAAAATGCAAAGTGTTCCACCAGAACAAGCAGATTTGATACGATGGGTGAAGACAAATTACAAAAGAGGAACCGTCGATCAGATCATTGACTCAGATTTAACCGATGATATCACTTCGACATCGATGGAAAAGTTTTGTGAAATAGCCGTGAGATGTGTTCTAGATCGCGGTATCGAACGACCATCGATGAACGACGTCGTTTGGGCGCTTGCGTTTGCTCTTCAGCTTCACGACACTGCTAAGAAGAAGAATGACAACGTGGAGTCTCTGGATGTAATGCCACATGGTGTGGTGGGCACAACGACGGACGGAGAAGATGACTTGTTTAGTAGGGCTACAGGACACGTGGAGGAATCGACCACCACCGATGACTCTGTTCCAGTTGTTGGTGATGAGAGGAGTGGTTCGAGTTGGGGAGTCTTTTCGGAGATCAATGAACCTAAAGCACGGTAGATTTTATGGCTTGCTAAACAAGTATTACATTCTGGTTAGGGTTAATATATTTGTGTATGTATAATTGTTGAATAAAAAATATTATTGTATTTTAATTACATTATGATGAACTCTATTTTGCAATTTAAGTTTAGATAAAATATAATTGCTTTAATTCAAAATCAAAAATAAAAGATCCTACTTCAAATAAATTACCTACAGATTCTGATGTAAATAATGCTTTTTTTTTTCTTCCCAATAATTGTGATGTAGCAAACTCAAAAAAAAAAAAAAATTCTGCCACTTGCAAAATGTTAAGATTAATTCGAATTGTAAAGGAGTTTCGTGGAAGAATTTAAATATTTGGAGTATGAAACTTTACTTCCTCTACCGGGTACTGTTCAGTAGTGATAACCCCTGTTCTAAAAATCGGCCGCTTAGGCGCTGATCAGGTGGGGACCGCGGCGATTTTGTCCAAATCGATTTTTGTCCGCCTAGACTGTCTAGGCGTCCGCCTAGCCCGCCTAGACGGCGCCTAGCCCATTTTTTTTTTTTTTGAATCTAAAATTTAAAACGTCCTACTTATGTTCATAATTTGTATAAAAATCATAAGTTTGACCTTAAATTCTTGTTTTCATGTGTTTAATGCAATTTTAAAAACAAAATTATATAAATTTCTTATTTATAATAGATTAATATGTTTTTAAAATATTAAATAGCCTTAAAACTAGTCCCCGATTAATCCCCGTTTAATCTCCGATTTTCTTGCTAGACGCTAGGCCCACCCTCACCGCCCGACTAGCGCCTAGCAATTTTTTAAACAAGGGTGATAACAAATGATCTTACTCATCGAGTTATATTCTGATCTTACTCATCGAGTTATCCTGAGCAAATCACATTAAGAATTTTGTCTAACGAGGTGAATACCCACGCTATGTGTGGGTTGTTATTATAAAAATTATTTAAAAAATCATGTTTATTGTTCTTATTGTTAATTTATGTTCATTTTGTGTGTTATTATGTAATGATCATTTAGGTAACAAAATAAGTAAATTTTTAGCCATTATCGAGTAATGATCATTGATTAAAAAAATTACTAAAATAAAAAGTGTAGAATGAAAGTAATGTTTGATACATTAACATGATTTTGTATTTTTTATTTTATTTTTTATTTTGAAAAAATTAATTAAGAGTAGAATGATGGAGGATTTAATGTAATGGAAGACTTTTGATTTTCCTCATTTACTTCTGTGAATTTTTAATTTAAATAATGTAATATGACACATGTCATTTTTGTGTGTGATGATGTGGCACTCTTATGGAGAGAGTTGACCAACTTTCATATATATGTTTTAGGAGTAAATATGGCGTTAAGAAATTTTCCTAATCAAAATTACAAATTAATATGTAACTATAGGATTTGCCAAAGCCTTAATGACAATTTTTAAGTTTTTAACCCGAACAAATCTTATCCTCACAACTACAAATACAGTTTTTGAAAAATTTATAACATTTGCTTATGTATAATATTATTTTGAGGGATTTCAATGAAACAATATATATTTATAGACGGCCTGATTGAATATAAAAAACAAGCTTTAGAGAAAAGAGTATAGAAGATCGTGCTAAACCATCAGCTTTTAAATTTTATAGTTTTAAAAAAATATTGAAAAAAAAAGCAAAAAGTTAGAGAAATAATTAACCACGGAACAAAGTAATCTCATCAAATATATTAGAGAAAGCATGACAATCTTCAGGAGAATTCACCATCTAAACTACCTCTGCACAATATATTTGTAAATTTATTTATTTCTCTATTTAATAAAAAAAAGTTTACATTATTCTTTTAAGCATGTTATGTCTTCAATAAATCCAACAACCAATGTTTTGAAATATTTTAATTTTATTTTGATGAAATATGTAATTGATTAATCAAATAAAAAAAATATGTACAAGAGTGTTCAGCTGTGTCTACAGGAAGTGAAGAACATTGAAATATTTTAAAAAAATTTCTAAACATATATTATTTTAGAAAGTGAAGAAATTTATACAATTTTTAATTTCCAAAGATTTTTACAAAAATTCTTTTGAAAATAAGAAATTTGATCCACTTTTTTAGAAAATGATTTGGAGTGTGTATATCTTTATCATAACTATTTTTTATGTATATCTTTTACATATAGCCATTTAAAAAAAATCCTAAAAGATATTTCAGAGAGTCACTTTTTTTATATTACTGTTTTATTCTAAATATTTTTCATGTAGTTTTTCACAATATGTTTTAGAATTCATGTTTTCCACTCTATATTTATATATTTCTGTAAAAATATTACCTTGTATTTACACATCTCAATTGTTCAATGGGTTCAAATTTAAATAACCAAATATCTGCAAGTTAAAAAAAAAACAAATTACTGAATATATCTTCTATTAAGATTTGAAACATTTCTTAGAATTATTGGTTTAACAAAAGATTACACAAATTTCTTTAAAATACAGTTTCTATCACTTACCTAGAAAACTTGTTAGACCGTCAAATCTCTTTATTATAAGTTATAACTCTTGGTTTTGTATTTTTTCGCTTAAAAAATATTATTATTATCCTAAAGAAAGTTTCACAATATATTTTTTTAATCAAGATTTTATTTTATTTTATATTTTCTACTAACAAACGCTTTTAACACTTTTTAAAAAATATTTTTGAAAATAACATAATATTTGACAAAGTCAAAAAAATGTGAAAAAGAACTCACCAAAAAAAATGTGAAAAAGAAAGATTAAAATAAAAATTCCATAAAAGTTAGTATATTATTTTATCCGAGGTAAAGTTGGGATTTTTTGGTATTTTTGACTGTTGAGAATTGTTTTCGAAAATTTTCCCAATATATAAATGCCTCAAAAAACAATTTGCAAAATAAATTTTTGTTAAATAGTTGTTAAAAAATGAAATATGTTAAATAAGTTCCTTCGCCATTTCACGTGGCTCATAGGCTAACCTAGTTATGAAAAAGAAAAACAAACACCAAATCTTTTCTTTTTCAACTTCAATTACAATGATCCTGATCCGTCACGTTGTGTTAATATTCTCTATTCTCGTTTCCACCACCATCGTAGGAGAAGGAGCAACGTCGGCATACAAGCCCACCGATGTCTTTCTCTTCAACTGCGGCGACACTTCCAACAACGTCGACGATAGTGGCCGGAATTGGACGCCGGAAAATCAGAAAATTATGTCGTCGAATTTAGTCAACGCTTCGTTCACTTCACAAGCGTCATACCAAGAATCTGGAGTTCCTCGGATCCCATACATGACAGCTCGAATATTCCGATCTGAGTTCACCTACAGTTTTCCAGTCACTCCCGGTTCGAAATTTCTCCGGTTCTACTTTTACCCGACCCGATACGGATCCGAATTCAACGCCGTCAATTCCTTCTTCTCCGTCAAAGTCAACGGTTTCACTCTCTTGAACAACTTCAGCGCTGACTTAACGGTAAAAGCTTCTAAAACCAAAACTGAGTTTATAATCAAAGAGTTTCTTATTCCGGTTTACCAAACGTTGAATCTCACGTTCACGCCGTCTGAGAATTCGTTAGCTTTCGTTAACGGAATCGAGATTGTCTCCATGCCTGACCGGTTTTACTCAAAGGGAGGATTTGACGACGTTATAACTAACGTTGGTAGTTCCGTTGACTTTCATATAGAAAACTCAACGGCTTTTGAGACAGTTTACCGGTTAAACGTAGGCGGTCAAACGGTCGGAGATTCGGGAATGTTCCGAAGATGGCTCTCTGATGATGAAGTCATACTCAGTGAAAGTTCAGGAACCTCTCCGATCGTACCAGATATAAAGATTAACTACACGGAGAAAACTCCGGCGTACGTTGCGCCGGATGACGTGTATGCCACGTCTCGCTCAATGGGGAACGCAGATAACCCTGAGCAAAACCTAAATTTCAACCTGACGTGGTTATTCACCGTTGACGCCGGGTTTAGCTACCTTGTGAGGCTTCATTTTTGTGAGACTCTACTGGAAGTGAACAAAGAGGGTCAACGCGTTTTCTCCATCTTCATAGAAAACCAAATGGCTACGCTTGAGATGGACGTGTTTCGGATGAGTGGTGGTTCTTGGATTCCAATGTATCTAGATTATATTGTGATTGTGGGTTCCGGAAGTGGTCCGAGACATGATCTAAGGCTTGACTTGCATCCTTTAAGAAGCGTTAATCCAAAGTATTATGATGCTATTCTGAATGGTGTAGAGATTCTCAAGCTGAATGATCCTGATGGTAATCTTGCCGGACCTAATCCAGATCCTTCAACGAATTCAACACCAAACCGTGAAACGCCGTTGATCCGAAAAGGTAATAATAACTCACATGTTTTGGCGATCACACTTGCAGTGGTTGGTTCTTCAATTGTTCTAGCAATGTTTGTTGTTGGTGGTGTTTTTATCATGAAGAGGAAGAAGAAGAAGAAGAGCAACGAGTTTAGTGTACATAACACGAGCTCTTCATGGAGTCCTCTTCCGCAAGGGAGAGGTTCCACGAATACAAAACCAGCGAAATCTCTCCCCTCTGGTCTCTGCCGTCGATTCTCCATTTTTGAAATCAAATCTGCCACAAACGATTTTGAGGAAAACCTAATCGTTGGAGTAGGCGGGTTTGGTTCTGTCTACAAAGGACGAATAGACGGTGGAGCCACACTTGTTGCAGTTAAACGGCTGGAAATTACGTCAAACCAAGGTGCTAAAGAGTTTGAAACAGAGCTCGAGATGCTCTCAAAGCTTAGACATGTACATCTCGTCTCTTTGATCGGATACTGCGACGATGAAAACGAGATGATACTTGTCTATGAGTATATGCCACATGGTACACTTAAAGATCATCTTTTCAAGAGGGGCAAGGCTGCTCCTCCATTGTCGTGGAAACGAAGGCTAGAGATTTGCATTGGAGCGGCTCGTGGACTACAATATCTCCATACAGGCGCAAAGCACACGATCATACATCGTGATATCAAAACCACAAACATACTTCTCGATGAGAACTTCGTCGCTAAAGTATCTGACTTTGGTTTATCAAGAGTTGGTCCTACTAGTGCTTCTCAAACGCATGTCTCCACCGTCGTTAAAGGCACGCCTGGTTATTTGGACCCCGAGTACTACCGCCGTCAAATCTTGACCGAAAAATCCGACGTATACTCCTTCGGAGTTGTTCTGTTTGAGGTTTTGTGTTGTAGACCGATCAAAATGCGAAGTGTTCCAGCGGAACAAGCAGATTTGATACAATGGGTGAAGACAAACTACAAAAGAGGAACTGTTGATCAGATCATTGACTCAGATCTAACGGCTGACATCACTTCGATTTCAATGGATAAGTTTTGTGAAATAGCCGTTAGATGTGTTCAAGATCGTGGTATTGAACGGCCATCAATGAACGATGTTGTTTGGGCGCTTGAGTTTGCGCTTCAGCTTCACGAGACTGCTAAGAAGAAGAATGTCAATGTGGAGTCTCTAGATGTAATGCCACAAGGTGAGGCGGGTACGACGACTGACGGAGAAGATGACTTGTTTAGTAGGACTACAGGACACGTGGGGAAATCGACCACGACCGATGACTCTGTTCCAGTTGTTGGTGATGAGAGGAGTGGTTCGAGTTGGGGAGTCTTTTCGGAGATCAATGAACCTAAAGCACGGTAGATTTGATGGCTTGGTGAACAAGTATTACATTCTGGTTAGGGTTAATATATTTGTGTATGTATAATTGTTGAATTAAGAAAATATTGTATTTAAATATTTAGCAGTTTAAGTTAATTTCAAATCAAAAATCTTGATGTTTATTTGAGTTTAATGTCGCTTTCTTCCTACGAGTACTTCCTCTATGATCTAGTGATCCTGAACTTTGTAGGGTTAAGTTAAGCAATGACATTAAGAACAAAGAAGTTTGTCTAATGAGTGGTGTTAAATTTTTTGCCTAATCTAAATCACAAACAGGATTCGCCAAAGCTTTAATGACAACTAGATCATGACCCGCACGTACGTGCGGGGTTTCATATTTTAAAAAATTTCTAACAAAATTTAATTCAATATAGATTATTTTGTTGTTTTTATGATATATATATTAGTGTATAAGATCTGGATCCATGTATGTGTAGAAATATTTTTATAGAAATTGTTATATAGATATATTTTGTTATTAGGGGCATTTTTGTTATAAAATATTTTGTTGTATTAGTAAACTTCGTAATTTCTATTTCCATTTTATTCGATTAAAACTATGTTCCAAATTCTTGTTTGCTTACCTTTAAATACCATACAATATTACAATATATACTGTGAGTTTTGCGGATTAATATGTATGCTGTTAAAGTTACAAATACATTTTAACAAATTTATTAATGTTTCTAGCTAAATTTTGCATATTTTTCTTTTCATTGTTTAATCATAATTAATTCGATTTTTTAGACTAAAATTAAAATTTGAGATACATCTATAAAAGGGATATGCTATTGCTGCATAATTTGTTTTGAATGCAAAATATATAATTATTATTTCGAAAACTGTGTGCAATATATTATGGAGTGGTTTAAGGAAGAACCGGTTGAGAAGAAAAAAAAAGAAAACACAAAATATTTCTAAATTAATATGTACAATCTATTGTTTAGATATTTCCGAAACTTGCTCTAAACGAATGCCCAATATCGTTTTTTTAGAAATTGTGAAATAAAATTTTGTTTTATATTTCAAAATTTGTGAAAATATTATAACAAAACCGAGTCTTAAATATTTGTATTTAATTTTTTTATGAAATTTTAAAATCCTCCATTGATAAATTTTTTTAAACTATAGTGTTTTTAATTTTGAATTAAAATGGTATTTTTTTTTTTTTTTTTTGATATAGAATAGTTTATTAGGATTAGTAAAAATTTAGTTGGATATCAAATCTTAGTTTTTCAATTCTCATTGGTTAACAACTTTTTTAGAAAAAAAATTTAAATTTTCGTCCATAATTAATAAGAGAGAGAATGTGGATTTAATTTTTGGAAACTAATAATTACTTTAAGAATTTTATTATTTTTTATTTAAAATATTATTTTGTGATTAATATTGTATCTTTAATAAATTTATTTAAAAACAAAAACCAATGACATTTTTGTAATACTTTACACTTTATAAGGTTATTTATGTTTGAGTGCTTCCCAATTAATAGTATAGACTAGATCATAACCCGTGCTGGAACAGCACGGATGAAATTTTAATTTTTAAATATTTATATAAAGTTGGATTATTGTTTGTTTTTTAGTACAATTTTAATAATTCTTTACATAATACAATGACATATAAGGATTTTTTGTTTTATTTTATTTTGTTTGATGAGAAAATATTAGGGGTGGGGTACGGTTTTTCGGTTTAGTATCGTTTTTTTCGTTTTGTAGAAAGTGAAACCATATAGAAACCGTATGTAATTCGGTTTAGTTATAGTTCGATTTTTACGGGTTTTTACGTTTTTTTGGTTAAAAATAAAACGTATGTATTTGATATATGCTAGTAGTAAGTGAAAAAAAATTGCGTATATAATAAACATATTTTGGTATATAATAAGATTAAATTCAACCCGTGCGTACCTATATTTTTATTTTAGAATCCCAATGAAAAAATTGTGTGCACAATCCATCATTCATTATTTTCATATATACTTATAGAATCAAAATTTTAAATATTTAGAGGTGTCAAACCTTATTTAACTCATCTCATCATATAATCTTAACAGGTTTCGGTTATAAAGATCATACCTCTTTTTATCATATAATACATTAAATTTAACTTGCTGCTTAATATTTATGCTTTGAAAAATAAAATTAGAATATTTATAACTTTTATCTTTTGATTTATTAAATATTTATGATATTCTTAAAAATATTATATTAAACTATTTAAAATTTTTCCAGATTAAAATATTTTTTTATTTTTTATTGTAGAATATAAAATTAAAAATTTTTAAAAAATAATTGTATGAACTTAAATATAAATATTCAAATAGTTATAAGGATCATAACTCATTCCATCATATAATACATTATATTTAACCCACCGTCTATTATAAATATTTTTAAATATATTTGTTTTAGGAAAACCAAATTAATGTATGTCTAATTTTTAAATTTTTTATTTATTAAGTATTGATGATATTTGTTTTTAAATATCAAGTCAAACTATTTTTAAATATTCCAAATTAAAATATTTAAAAATTTATAGTAGTATATAAAATTATATATTTTTTAAAAAATATATGAAATTGAATATAATTACTCAAATTCTGACCCGTTATTCAGGCGAAATTTTTGTTGAATTTATTTTTGTTTAAAAGAAATATATTATCCAAGTCTAAATTTTTGATTCGTTAATTTTTTTTTTTCATAAATTGAATTCTCTAATTTATATTCGTTTTTAAAAATTCAAATCATGGCATATGCGGAAAAAAATCTATTTTTTATTATTATATGGATGATATGATGATTTATTTGTTTGACAATAATATAATCATATAAAGATGAGAGGTGAAATATATATTCATTTTGATTAATAACAAATTAATAAGGTAGGTTAGATATCAAATCTTATATATTCATTTTGGTTGGTCATTTAAAAATAATAATAATGTATTTTTCGTTTTTATAATTAAATTAAATTAATTAAATTGTATAAATTGACTTGTTTATCCTTAATGAGATGAATTAATTTACTCTTTGAAATTTTATCTCTAATGGCATTTTTAAGTAAATTTTTACAAAAGGGAAGGTTAGTTAAGGGTATCTTATAAAGTGTACTCCCCAAATAATAGTATAGGATTTTTAAAACCGAACAAATCTTATCATCACAACTACAAATATATTTTCTTAAAGGTTTATAACATTTGCTTATGTATAAATATTACTTCTATGGGTACACATAATTTTTAGTTTAATTAATATGGTTACGAGTAAACAAAGATTCTTTATGATAATATTTTATCAAAGACGATAAAGTCTTTTTTTTTATGAAATTTAAATTCCTTTTTTCTTTAATTTTTTTTTAAATTTTAGTGTTAAGGCTAGGTTTTGTAGTAAATATACGTATATTTAGAGAATAAGAGAGACCTAAATTTAATTATGAAGTATATGTATATTTTACATTAAGATAATTTACCAACGCCAAATCGATAAATAACTGTTTTGATTATTATTTTTTCTTAAAACATGGTCTTGATAACAATAGATCTCATCAATATCTTTCTAAAACATATAAAAATAATATTTGTGGAATATTAACAAAGAAATATAATTACTTTCCATAGTATAACGTCCGTATCAATTATATAACGAAGCAAAAGAAATAATACTCTCGTTAGAATTTGTTATAATCCTATATAAATTTTAAAAAGGATTAAACGCCTTCCTATAAAAAAGGAAATACGAATAATCACAAAAAAAAGAAGGAAATACTCAGTATATATATCTAAAACTTTCAAAACCCTAACACACCAAATCTCAAAGGGATCACAATCTTATATTACTTTTTTCTCGATGATAAACTTGGAGAAAGAAGAAGCCAAAGAGAAGCAGATCTTGATTCGTGAGGGAAAAAGAAAAATTAATCATCACGTTAATACAACGTTACTCGTGAAGATTTTTGAAGCTTTCACAATCGATGACAGAGATCTTTTGAAACCTTACTATGGCAGTAACTACTATTTTATCAAGGCATGGTTAGACGAAACCAAACAATACGGAACATATGTGGTAAAAGGTTTCAAAGACTACTCTTTTGTGGTTAATCAAGAAATGAAGATTCCTTTAGATTTTCCTGCACAGTATCTTTACATAGAATTGCTTAAAGGGTTCACGTATAGAGATCCTGGAACATCCAACGGAACCGTTGTGATGGGTCGTGCAAAGATTCGATTGCCTCCTCTTACCAGCTATAAGGTGGTCTCCGGTGACATCGATCTCGTCGGTTTGAATAGTGATCAATGTGTCGTGAAAAAGGGATCCCTAAAATATGCTATGAAAATTCATAGGTATGTTGCATTGGAGGATTAGGGTTTTTTTTCTTAAATTTTTTTGGGGATTATTTTAAAAATTATTGGCCTTAATATTAAAAGTTTTAAATTCTATAACTTGTGGTTGATTTGATATGAGTTATCCTTCTAATTCTATCACATCTATTCTTTATATATCTATGTATAACTTCTTTTTGGTTAGATCTATTCGTTATATACCTATATGATATATATGGTCTTGTTCTTTTCATTGTCGCTAGCGACACCTTCATGCGACCCATAATTACACTGTCTTTCTCTCTTTTTATCAGTCCATAGACATTCTAGCTACACCTTTCAACAATCTATTCATCATTGTTATTCATCTCTTTCAGAGTAATTGGTCGCTGGATTTAATATTGAGCAAAAATTCAGTGCGTTATTTTAGAGTCTCTAGCAACATCAGAAAGAACAAGCCCTATGTAGAGATGTTTATGAAGCATAGCATAATATGCATTATTTCTAATTGAAATTTGTATACTGTTTAAAATGAAAAAGAAAACAAAGAAAGGTGTATGATTGGTTGGAGCGGTAGACTTTTCTATATTCATCTTAAGCATTGTGCCAAAAGAGAAACATACATATTGTTCCACCACACATAAGCTCAAAGTTTGTCCAACAATTTCAACCACTAACAATTATTGCATCAGACATGAATATAGAAAAGTCCCAAACAAAAGGTGAATAATGGTCCCAAACTCCCAATGATCAAGTTGATGAATAATTAAGCTGTTTTGATTATCTTATTGGTTTTAATGCAGCAATTGACACTTCGAAACAATTATTTGTTTTGCTTTGTCAGTCAACGGTTGACCCATTGACTAGCACACCATCCATGACTTGAGCTTAAGTTATGCACTCATCTCTTACCTTCTTAAAAAAACTCTAATGATCTGTTACGTTTTGTTTCTTTCCTCTGTTCTCGTTTCTGCTACGGCGGCGTACCATCCTACTGAAGTCTTTCTCTTCAACTGCGGCGATACTTCCGACAACATCGACAACAATGGCCGGAATTGGACAGCAGAAGATCAGAAAATTCTGTCGTCAAATTTAGTCAACGCTTCATATACTTCAGAAGCATCATACCAAAAATCAGATGTTTCTCAGATTCCGTACATGAAAGCTCGAATTTTCAAATCTGAGTTCACTTACAGTTTTCCAGTCACTCCTGGCTGGAAATTCCTCCGTTTATACTTTTACCCGACTCAATATAAATCCGGTTTTGACGCCGTTAACTCCTTCTTCTCCGTCAAAGTCAACGGTTTCACTCTCTTGCGAAACTTCAACGCTGATATAACGGAGTCAAGTTCTCTAATCAAAGAGTTTATCATTCCGGTTTACCAAACTCTAAACCTCACCTTCACGCCATCTGAGAATTCGTTAGCTTTCGTTAACGGAGTCGAGATTGTCTCCATGCCTGACCGGTTTTACTCAAAGGGAGGATTTGACGACGTTGTAAGAAACGTCAGTAGCGATGTTGACTTTGAGATAGATAACTCAACGGCTTTCGAGACCGTTCACCGAGTAAACGTTGGTGGACAAATGGTCACTAATGTCGACGATTCAGGAATGTTCCGGCGGTGGCTTCCGGATGATTCTTTCGGAAATTCGGGATCTATTGTGAATGTTCCAGGTGTAAAGATCAACTACATGGAGAAAACTCCGGAGTATGTTGCCCCATATGATGTGTACGCAACTAGTCGATCAATGGGGAACTCCAACAACTTGATTTTTAACCTGACGGGTATGTTCCTCACAGTTGATGCCGGATATAACTACCTCGTGAGGCTACATTTCTGTGAGACACTTCCACAAGTGACTAAACCAAGCCAACGCGTCTTCTCCATCTTCGTTAAAGATAAGATGGCTAAGAAAGAGATGGACGTGATACGGTTGAGTGGTGGTCCTCGGATTCCAATGTATTTAGATTTTAGTGTGTATGTTGGTTTCGAAAGTGGGATGAGACAACCTGAGCTACGACTTGACTTGCATCCTTTCAAGGACACTAATCTAACGTATTACGACGCTATTCTGAATGGTGTAGAGATTCTCAAGCTGAATGATTCTGATGGTAATCTTGCAAGACCAAATCAAAAACTTATAGTATCTACGGACGACTCAACACCAAACGGTTCTAATGTATCACCACCAATAAATGGTAAGCCACATGTTTTGGTGATAATCCTCATAGCCGTTGGTTCTGCAATTGGGCTAGCGACTTTCATTGTTATCATCATGTTGTTGATCCGTCGGAAGAAGAATACAAAGGAAAATAGTGTCATCATGTTCAAGTTACTACTGAAACAGTACACTTATGCAGAATTGAAGAAAATTACAAAGTCGTTTTCCCACACCGTTGGGAAAGGAGGGTTTGGAACTGTATATAGAGGAAATCTTTCTAATGGGCGTAAGGTCTTGAAGGATTTGAAGGGAAACGGTGACGATTTCATCAACGAAGTCACCAGCATGAGCCAGACATCTCATGTAAACATTGTTTCTCTTCTTGGTTTCTGCTATGAAGGGTCCAAAAGAGCGATTATATCTGAGTTTTTGGAGCATGGGTCTTTGGATCAGTTTATCTCTAGAAAAAAATCATTGACTCTGGACGTGGCAACAATATATGGAATCGCGCTAGGCATCGCTCGGGGATTGGAGTACTTGCACTATGGCTGCAAAACAAGAATTGTGCATTTCGACATTAAACCTCAGAATATTCTGTTAGACGGCAATCTTTGTCCTAAAGTCTCAGACTTTGGCCTTGCTAAGCTTTGTGAGAAAAGAGAAAGTGTTATGTCATTGATGGACACAAGAGGAACTATAGGTTACATTGCACCTGAGGTCTTCTCAAGAATGTACGGCAGAGTCTCCCATAAGTCAGATGTGTATAGCTATGGAATGTTGATCCTCGACATGATTGGAGCAAGGAACAAAGAAATACTAGAAACTATTGATCCCGCTGCTAGTTCGACTTACTTTCCAGATTGGATCTATAAAGATCTTGAAGATGGAGAACAAACTGTCAAGAATCAATCAAGATTATATCACGTATCAATCAAGGTTATAAATAAGTCAAGTATATATACTGTAATAATGTTGTAATCAGAAGTCTCTAGAATCCTTGGCTGTATATAAACGCTTGTATCTCAAAGTAATAGAATCATCCATTTCACAATCTCTATTCTATATGGTATCAGAGCAGTTTCGATACCTAGAAACCTAATAAAAAAAAAAAAAAAATCAGCCGCTCATCTCAAAATCTCTCTGTTCTCTCTGTTTTTTTATTCTTTTTCTCTCTTGTCTCGTTCTTCTTTGTTCTTCCTTCTCAAACCATGGCCAATACTGCTGCTGAAATTATCTCTCTCTCCAACACCTCCATTGTTAACGTTAACATGTCTAATGTTACCAAGCTCACTGCCTCTAATTACATCATGTGGAGCCGTCAAGTTCATGCTCTCCTAGATGGTTATGGTCTAGCCAAGCATCTTGATGTCTTAGCCGAAATACCAACCAAGGAGATCACCGTCAATGAGGTCGTCTCTCCAAACCCTGCCTTTGAAGCTTGGACCAGACAAGATCGCCTGATCTACAGCGCTCTCATCGGTGCTATCTCTCTCACCGTTCAGCCTACCGTGTCCCGTGCCAACACCGCCGCCGACATCTGGACTACGCTTGCTCTGACCTACGCTAAACCAAGCCGTGGTCACATCAAGCAACTCAAACATCAGCTCAAACAATGGACAAAAGGTACTCGTACAATCGATGAATACGTTCAAGGGCTGACAAATCGGTTTGATCAGTTGGCTCTCCTTGGAAAAATCATTGATCATGAGGATCAAGTTGACTACATTCTCCAAGGCCTATCTGAAGATTACAAATCTGTGGTGGATCAAATGGAGGGTCGTGATATTCCACCGAGTTTGACAGAGCTTCACGAGAAGCTCCTCAATCATGAAGCCAAGCTCATGACTGCTCCTACATCTCCAGCCTTTCCCATCACGGCAAACTATGTCAACAATCGTACTCGTACGTCATCCAAGCCTTCACAGAATCAACCGTGGAAGCACCAATCCTCTGTTCGTGGTTTTGATGGGCGTGGTCCTCCCAAGCCATACCTCGGCAAGTGTCAGATCTGTGGAGTTCAAGGGCACTCTGCCAAAAGATGCTACCAGCTTCAGTCCATACAAACTCACGCGTCGGGTAATCCACCTCTGCTCCCCACACCGCCAAATCAATGGCTTCCAAGAGCTAATCTTGCGACCACTACACCGTCTCCTTTCGTCTACAATCCATGGGTTCTCGACTCCGGCTCCACACATCACATAACCTCTGATCTCAACAATCTCGCTCTTCACCAACCATACACGGGAGGTGAAGAAGTTTTGATCGGTGACGGCTCAGGTCTGAAAATCACTCACACCGGTTCAGCCTCGCTACCCTCTTCCTCTCAATCATTATCTCTTCGTGATGTTTTATATGTTCCAGAGATTCAGAAAAATTTGATTTCTGTATACCGTCTCTGTAATACTAATAAAGTTTCTGTTGAATTTTTCCCGGCTTTCTTTCAGGTGAAGGATCTCAAAACGGGGGCCCGATTACTCCAAGGTCGAACTAGAGCGGAGCTATACGAGTGGCCTATTCTCACCAAACCCACATCCTATCTCACTTCCGCAACATCAAAGCCAACCCTAAAAGAGTGGCATTCACGTTTAGGCCACCCATCTCTCCGTATTCTAAAAACAATTATTTCACAGTTTTCTTTACCTTTTTCTCATTCTCAAATAAACTCTCTTTGCAGAGACTGCTCTATTAATAAAAGTCACAAGTTATCTTTTTCAGAAACATCCCTCTCCTCTTCTCGCCCTCTCGAAATACTCTTTAGTGACGTATGGACATCTCCGATTATATCTATAGATAATTTCAAATACTATCTTATAATCGTAGATCATCATACTCGCTATACTTGGTTTTACCCACTCAAACTTAAATCCCAAGTAAAAGAAACCTTTATTCGATTCAAAGCTCTTGTTGAGAACAAGTTTCAAACTCGAATTACAACTTTGTTCTCGGATAATGGTGGTGAATACATAGCCCTAAGAGACTTCCTAGCCACGAATGGTATCACTCACCTTACAACACCACCTCACACTCCCGAGCATAACGGTCTTTCGGAACGACGTCATAGACACATCGTCGAAACGGGTCTTTCTCTTCTCACCCATGCTTCAATTCCAAACACTTATTGGTCTTATGCTCTAGCTGCTTCTGTTTATCTTATCAATCGTATGCCAACACCCACTCTATCTCTTCAGTCCCCATACCAAAAGCTATTCCAAATGAACCCAAACTACCAGAAACTCAAAACCTTCGGCTGCCTCTGTTTTCCTTGGCTTAGGCCATACAACTCTCATAAACTAGAACCAAAATCATCTCCTTGTGTATTTCTTGGCTACTCTCTCACTCAAAGTGCCTATATATGCTTAGAACCACAAACTCATCGTCTATACATTTCTAGACACGTTCGTTTTGATGAAACCATTTTTCCATTCTCTTCGTCACAACAAAACAGTCCCGATTTATCATTCCTCAATCCCGAACCAACTCCTCTCCCAACCCAGATAATCACACTCGTACAGCCTCCGTCGACCACAGAGTTGTCTCCTCGTTTTGAACCGTCACCGTTAGCAATGCCGGAAAATTCCACCGAAGCTTTATCTCCAACATCGTCGAGCTCACATGGAGAATCCTCGGGCCAAACAAATTCAATTCCAGCAACTGAAGCCCATTCTCCAAGTCAGGCCCATGAACCAACATCTTCAGCAAATCCGGCCCAACTTGAAGATAATTCAGCCACTAATGTTGACAGCAGCCCAATAAACAATTCAGCCCAATCTGAAAACAATGACACCACGTCATCATCTTCCTCTGGTTTGAATCACGTTCCTGTCGAAGCACCGATTCCAGTCCCAGCTCGGCATTCCATGGAAACGAGGTCGAAATCAGGGATTATCAAACCCAACAAAAAGTATTCTCTTGCTGTCACTTTGGCTAACTCCGACCTAGAGCCTCGAACTGTCAATCAAGCACTTCAAGATGAACGTTGGAGAAACTCAATGTCTGATGAATTCAATGCTCAAATTGAGAATCACACATGGGATCTAGTTCAAGCACCACCACCGAATGTCAACGTAATAGGCTGTAAGTGGATTTTTAGAACAAAATTCAATCCTGATGGCTCAATTCACAGATTCAAATCAAGGCTTGTTGCAAAAGGATATTCTCAACAACAAGGGCTCGACTACTCCGAGACGTTCAGTCCTGTCATTAAATCCGCTACAATTCGGCTCGTGCTTGGCATTGCTGTAAGCAGAGACTGGCCAATTCGACAACTTGACGTTAACAACGCTTTCTTACAAGGCACTCTTACTGAAGATGTCTATATGTCGCAGCCACCGGGTTATGTTGATAAAGACAGGCCTCATCATGTCTGTCATCTCAAGAAAGCTTTGTATGGTCTCAAGCAAGCTCCTCGCGCGTGGTATCTTGAACTCAAAACATATCTCCTCTCTGTTGGTTTCACGAATTCAGTTGCTGACACTTCTCTCTTTACATTGAAGCGGGGTTCATCCTTTGTCTACATGTTAATCTATGTTGATGATATTTTAGTCACAGGAAATGACAACAATCTACTTCAAGAGACTCTCAATGCTCTTGCAAACCGATTTTCAGTCAAAGACCATGAAGAGCTCTCATATTTTCTTGGTATAGAAGCGAAACGTGTACCAAGCGGACTTCATCTCACACAGCGACGTTACATTCTTGATCTCCTCACACGCCACAACATGCTCACAGCGAAACCGGTATCCACACCCATGGCAACATCACCAAAGCTGACCTTACACTCAGGCACAAAGCTCTCTGATGCAACTGAGTATCGATGTGTTGTAGGAAGTCTTCAATATCTTGCATTCACAAGGCCGGACATCTCCTACGCAGTGAACCGCCTGTCTCAATTCATGCACTCTCCAACAACAGACCATTGGCAGGCCGTGAAACGTGTTCTCAGGTATCTTGCTGGCACACCAACTCATGGGATTTTTCTAAGTCGCAACAACAACTTGTCTCTTCATGCATTTTCTGATTCTGATTGGGCCGGTGACACGGATGACTACGTCTCTACAAATGCATATGTCGTATATCTAGGAAACCACCCCATATCTTGGTCTTCAAAGAAACAAAAAGGCGTTGCTCGCTCATCTACCGAAGCAGAATACCGGGCAGTAGCAAACACTTCAGCTGAGCTTACTTGGATACGAAACTTGATCACAGAACTAGGCATTCAAATACCAGCTACTCCTGTTATATATTGCGACAATGTGGGAGCCACCTATCTCTGCGCTAATCCCGTGTTCCATTCCCGAATGAAACACATAGCTTTGGCATATCACTTCATTCGTGGTCAAATTCAGTCCGGTGAACTTCGAGTGGCTCACATTTCAACCAAGGACCAGTTAGCAGATGCACTTACGAAACCTCTCTCCCGCAGCACATTCCAACATCTCACGTCCAAGATTGGAGTGTCAAAGACCCCTCCATCTTGAGGGGGCATGTCAAGAATCAATCAAGATTATATCACGTATCAATCAAGGTTATAAATAAGTCAAGTATATATACTGTAATAATGTTGTAATCAGAAGTCTCTAGAATCCTTGGCTGTATATAAACGCTTGTATCTCAAAGTAATAGAATCATCCATTTCACAATCTCTATTCTATACAAACATGGATATTTGGTGATGAAATAACCAAAGAAGAAAAAGAGATTGCAAGGAAGATGATATTGGTAGGTCTCTGGTGTATTCAACCATGCCCATCAGATCGTCCACCGATGAACAAAGTCGTCGAAATGATGGAAGGAAGTTTAGATGCTCTTGAAATCCCCCCGAAGCCTTCTATGCATATCTCCACTGAGGTTATTCCCGAATCTTCTTCACTTTCTGGTGACGAGGAAG